TCTAACTATCCCGTCCCCTCCTTTGATTTTGCCATCTCTACAATTTGAGTAGCTCTTGGCAGTGCTAATGCCCAGAGGGGAACAATACTGTATGGGCCCATCAGAATAAGAAAAGAAGGTGGTTTCACCCTCGCTATGAACTCTTTCAACAATCACAAAAGAAGCACCCACACGCAAGGGAGTCAAAGAGGTCAGAGGACATCTGTGGAATTCATGTGTATTCAACTTTAGAAAACGAGGAATGGAGAAATAATGTTTGTCAGGGGATTTCTTCCATTATGTGGCTTAATATGCTGACTTATGGTGAATTCAATGTGCGTTCTGTGGTTTCCCACATTTAGGTTGCACAGTCAGACATAGGCGGTGCTAATTTTGGCCTGAGGGTCTAAAAACTTTCCCAGAGGGCAGGTGCTCTCAACAGGTGTAATTAGGCCTGTTAACAAGTACTACTGCAGATTTACATGTCTCTGCTGATTCCATTTCAAAGAGAGATTGCTGTGGAAGGCCATTGAGTTTTTAAATATGGAAAATCTTACATAAATTGGCATGCATAATAAATACACTAAACCACTTTTCATGTGAAAATGTAATCATTGTTTTATCCATACACTTCTAAATAAACTGACAGTAGAAGTAAAATATACAATTTACAGGACTGTTATCATAAATACAATCCCTTTCCTCTACCCAGTTCATATGGGCAAATGTGGGATGCTGCTCAGGGAGCTTTGGAGGACCTTTTGGAGGATGAATATCCCACAATGCAGCTCCATCCTCAAAAGGACCGTCTTCAGGTCTTTCAGACGCTGGCAACTTTCTACCTGCGCTACCTGAAGATATTCCGTGCCCTGGAGGAGGTTTATGATCAGATTGTTCACCCCCAAAAGCGGCGTGTTGTGCACCAGGTTCTTGAGGGGGTGATGGGACGACTTGTAGAGCTGAAGAATGAGATGGTGGAGCTGGAGTACTCAGAGTTTCACTACTTTGATGACATATTGCAGGATTTCAAAATGACACCTGTGAGTGAGATAACAAAATATACTGTTGCATGTACAGAATGCTGGGAATGTTTTGGTCTCTTGTGGTTGTAGATTCAGAGCAGAGGGCCTGTAGGGAATTTAGGAGATTTGGGTTTATGGAGGATTTAGCCGCTCAATGTCAAAGTGGATTTTAGTGAGCTAAGCCTCTTGTTTTTCTCTGAATTTAGTGGATGCTAATTGGGGTCACTAGTGCACAGGTTTTACATATAACCGTCTCTATTCAGGGCTGTAATAGCTGAAAATAATTTGAATTTTGAATCTTTTTTAGGAGGATCTTGAGGTACCTATTCCACGCTATTTTGTGAGGGAGAAGATGAGGGCACTAAAAGAGAGAGAAAAGATGTTGGCCCATATTTTGGCGAAAGGAGGACGTCAGGATACTAAAACTGTGAGTGTGTCACAGTCAATGAGATATAAAAGCTCTACATGTAATGCAAGTCAAATAATAATAGCTGTGCCAAATACTGGAGGTGTGTGGTTCTGGTTTCTGGTTAAGCAGGGGCCAGTTCAGTCCATGTCTGTGGAGCGGGCTGTGTGGCTGCTGCAGGTCAGTGAGCGAGCTCGGCAGGGAAGACTGAGAGCTCACTTCATGAAGACAATTCGGCAGGAGGAACAAAGAAGACTTCAGGGTAACTCTAGCATGCTGGACGCTAACCAGGCAGCCACCTGCATTCAGAAGGTATCAGGCATCACTTGATTTTCAACAAAAACTTTCTAGTCCAGCTAAATTACTAATGCATTGCATAGATGGATTTGAAATTGCCAAAACAAATAAATGATCAACAAAACTTTTATGCAGTGAACTTAAATATTACTATATAAAGGAATAGCTCACCTAAAAATGTTTTGTCTTTTATTATTTACTCACCCTCATGTCATTCCAAAAATTGTATGGCTTTCAAGAACTTTGAAGCTCTTAATTGGACATGCAATTAATCTGTCTTCACTCGTATGTTCCAAGAATTTTTAAGCAAAACAATTAGTTTGTATGATGAACAGGTTAAATTTAAGTCTTTATTCACTCTCAAATCAAGTTAATTTCATTGAACATTTGTAGGCGTTCACTAATTCAAATATGGTGACACAAACTAGAAGACATGGAGTATACCAGTCAAGTTGTATGGATTCATTTTATGCTTCATGGCCATTTTGCGAGCTTGAACGTTTAGGAAAAACAGTTGAAGCATTCTTCAAAATATCTTTTGTGTTGCAGACTTTATAACTTTCTCTTTTTTTCTTTTGTTGTTTTGTCATTACTGTTAGTTTTGTGAGGTTAAAGGTTCATATTTTTACATTTGTCACCATTCTTGAGATTTTGTGTGTGAAGTGTTGAGGTCTATTTACAATCATTTAAAATTCTATTCCAAATATCTTTGCTCTGTATTGTGATTGCTCTTTCAGAAACAAAGATAGCATAGTTCACTTTACATGTGAAATGTTCTATAAAACTCTATATTTGGTTATCTATTTTTGGTTATTGTGTTACTAACTGGAAGCTTGCTGAACAAGACATTTGTAGTTATTTTCACATTTTCACATTGACTAAACAACGTAGCAACGTAGCGTTACTTAGGGCAATTAAGACAATCATTAGGAGAACTTAAAAATATGAGTGCATCGTGTCACCCTGAATTTTTAACCTTATTTATTTATTTATTGGTTGGTAAACATTTCTCACAGGTCTCACAGGTATTCATGAATGAATGTTATGAGTACACATTCAGCGTCATCAGAGTATGCAATTGGCTATTTAGAAAGTAAAAAAAAAACTGTTATGGCCCTGAAGATGATAAACACATCATAACATTGCATCAATAAATATATCATTATTTAAACTGAAGTTGATGATCTAGCATCATACACAAGCGAGGTAATGCCTGCTGCCCTACCTGTGCATGAACTCAGATGCTGTAGAGGTCAGACCATCTCCTATCACAGTCATCAGTTGTCACATTTGACATGAAGTCCGCTCAACAAAGGACTATGAATGACATGCGATCCCATCCATGCATAAAAGATATATGTCCAACTCATCTGTGGGAATAATGTGCTTGTAGGCCCTTTGGCAGCAGAAGGGAGATTAGCATTGTAGTGCTGAGAGATGGGAAAAGGAAAGCATTCCTGGATTTTAGGTGTTGTTTTTTTAGTGCCATTCTAATCATGAAATCTGAGCTCATGTATCCTGACGTCTTTTTGAGTGAGTGTTCGCTACGGTTGTTGAACCCAGACATAGATGTAGCCTGAAAGAGATAGCAGATATGATTTTGGATTTTTGCAGTGCAGGTGTGAAACTGACATTGCTGAGTGAAAACGTACAGAAGAGCATAGACGAAGGTCCTCGTGGGTAGCTCATGGGTAATTCACTTTCAAATAGCTCATACAACAAGCATGTTGTGCCGTGTAGTGAATGCGATTACAGGAGGTGATAAACAGAGATTTGGGGCTCTCACACTGCGAGGCTGTTTTCACAAGGTCTAATCCTCCATTCGCTCTCATTCTGTAGCTCACAGCAAAGCAGATTTCTGTGCTGTGAAACCCTGGAAACATAATCCTCTCACTTCAGTTGGCTATTGCTGTTTTAGCATCATTGTCGTTCAAACTAAAAAGGAGGATTTATTAAAAAATACAAGAATAATCCTTGCCTGCATTTCTGAACTGTAAGCTGAGTCTTGAGATTGATTTGCCTTGGTTGTTGAGGTTATCTAAATACGAACCTCCCCACATCCTCAATGGCAACCTGAATGATAAAAATCAGTTTGTCAGATCAGAATTTCGGTTGCTGTTAGTACATTCCTCTCATCCAAAAATCCTTGAATGCAAGAAGACGGTAGATTGTTTCTCACCAGATAACACAAGAGTCAAAGAATGTACTTGATGTCAAAGTGACTATGATAGTATCATTTCTGGTATGTGTCCTCAACCTCAGTTTTCTGTCCTTCCTGCTATTATGATGTGTTTTTCGCTCTGTCTTCTAGGTTTGGCGGGGGTATCGGGACAGGAGAAGGGTCAACAAGGAGTGTCTAGAGGAGATGATATTTTTGGGAATGGTAAACACCAGGATGCTCTGCCAGTTTACTGTTTGTGAAAAGCAAGTCTTTTCATGAATTTGTTGTTTTGTACATATCTTCTGCTATTTTTGATCAAACCACATTCTGAACTTTTTGTACCCTTTGTCGTCAGTTTTTCCATCTCTTGTCTCCTGGTGCCCTGTTTCCAGATACCAGCCCAGCAAACAACACCCAGCCCTGCCCAACTGCATGCCCAGCAGGTGGAAAGCAGGAGGCATTGTGTGCAGGAGGAGCATGAGGCTGAGTACGAGAGGGCACTGGTCAACATCAAAGAGTCGGTGCGGTCTGTCGATGGGCCAGATATTAAAGAGAGCCTGCAAGAACAAATACGCCAGTGGTTTCTTGAGTGTCGGTAAGTCATACACAAAAATCATGGATACACAGTTTTAAGCAGGGTTACAGTTTAATTTAAAACTTCATAGGTGGGTCAAAGATGCATTGTTTTTGTCCCATCTATTAATTTATTGAGGAAAAATGCAATTCATACATACAATGACTTGGATACATTTTTTATGAAGAGAATATATTTAAATTATTTTGTTAAATATATAAGTCAATCAGATATTAAGTCAGTGAAAAGTCAGGATGATAAAACTGTCCTGGTATTGGTATGACAT